CAGTTACTTCACTCGCTTTGCTGGGCTTATTTGGGAACTCAGTGCCACATGCTGTCGGAGTGGCAGTGGCGGCAGCCCGTATTGAAAATGCTTGTCGTCACACTCCCAGCATTTCAAGATCAGCTTTAGTTATGATTATGAGCATGGAAGTGCCGCATTGTTCAATTTTCCCCATTCACATGTGAGTCATGTCCCAAAGACTGTGAGCTTCCATGAAAATAAAATATACGAAAGGCCTCTTGGCCTTTGGTTTATTTACATGAGCAAAATGTTGCACTCCGTTGGGACCTGAAAAAAGACACGTCTGCAGAATATTGCTTCATCAAGCCTTGAGTTTTGTGTTGGCCATTAAATTATATTAGTCAGCAGGTTTTTACTGTATTGTAGTCTGTTTGTTTACTTCAATTTAATTCCTATTCCTCCTATTACACATAAATGCTTGATTCTGTCAATTCAGTACATGATTTACAGTGGAAGACTTCTTGAAAACGGTTAAAACAGACCTCAAATGAACACTAAACGGTATTTACTGTAGTAATCACTGTAATTGTTACACCTAGGGCAGCTGTTGTCATATTGATTTGTATAATCGATAATTCCAAGATCTAAGATTAGCTCATTCAGCAAGTGTGTCTCGAATAGACAACAAACTCTGGAGACTAGTTTTCTGGTTTTAAAGGGATAGTTCACCCAAAAACGATGGTGAGTAAAAGATTTTCATGTTTTTCACAACAGAAGATAATTTGAGAAATGTCTGTTGTTTGTCCATACAATGAAAGGCAAAGAAACCGTATGACTTTTAACACGGTTATTTTACGTTCCAAAGAAGAAGTCACATAGGTTTGGAACAACATGAAGGTGAATAAATTGTAAGAATCTTTATTTATCTTTTTAAAGTCATGATGAAACTGAAGTAGCGACAGATATTTTCTTGTAGGGTTTAATCAAAATGACTTTTTGATGAAATATTTTAATATCAAAACCGTTTATAAAAACATGCACATAAGATTCGTTCACAATAAGATCAATAACATACATTTACAAAATAGATTGGATTTCATGCCAACTTCAAGCATATGGCATATATCATTTAATTTTGCAGGAAGAATGTTATTTCTCACAGACAGACAGTAGGTGTGATTTTTGTTGACTTCTCAAACTGAGACGGCCTCGAACAGCACACTAGTGTCTACAAACCACAGCCAAGTGCTGTTAAAAGATATTTGTTTCTCAAACGCCTTGTCTTCTGCTGTACAGTCCAGTTATTGACTTTCTCCTTGATTCTTGTGCATGCACATGCGGCGCCTGAAGGACACTGCTACAAGTGCGATGTGTATACGACTCAGTGACCTTGTAGAAACAATACACACTCGTCACCTCCACACTTCTGATATTTACAGCCTCTTTTGTAGATCTGCGCCAGAAACACACACACACACGTATGCCATGCTGTATATCCTCCACCCAGCCACCTTCCTGCTGTAGAACATCAAAGTAAACACAACCAGCACTTACACGAACCTGTATAACAATTGTACTACATATAGCTGATGTTATCAGTGTCCAGCACAAGCTTATTTGTCTTCTTGTCTGTGCATTAGAGATATTCATTCTATCTGAAATCTATCAGATTTTATTTTATTTTTTCAATCTTTTTCCAGGTTTAGTGCAAGTTTTGCTGTATCTAATCTAGCCTAGGCCTATATATTTTTCAGTAGTGTGTTACTAGCGCTTTTCAAAATTGTGTGGCTTTTCCATTAACAAGTTCGTTTTTCCACTACACGCATTAAAAACGCTGCATTGCTGTTTTTAATATCACAATGTATTGCATGCTCAGCCTGAGCAAGCTGAGGCAATTCAGATTCTGATTCATTCTTGCATTGTTCAGATGGTTTATGAAACCATAAATAAACAGATTGCAATTTCTGGTATTGTATTTCTGGGTGCATGATATATCAGTATCTTATCAATCATAATTTTTTTTTTCTGATATTACATTTTTAACTGTAAATGCTAATTTCCCCTATTTTTTACATTTAGATTACCGTTACCATAATCTAATGATCACTTAAAATTAAAGTAATCTTTTTTTTTATCTAAAATTGATGAAAATGAGCATCAAGAATTAAATTCGGCCTAAAATGAAAATTCACCCTATTTTCTAAATGCATGCTACCGATCTCATTGTGAATAGTTCATCCATGTATGTTTCGTTAAAAAATGTACCTTGTAATTTTTAATCAAGATCATAGATCGATCTTCCAGTGAACTGACAGGCTTTTCTCTGGTGATGTATGCTGGACTTCCCCAATCAATTAGTTTGCACCTTTCTTACAATTGACTGGAAACTCGCATTCAGATCAGCCTCCATCCAAACAAAAACCAGTGGAAAGTCCACAGCCTACACGTTTCTTTCTTTTTCAATAATCCATTTCACTCTTGTTAATGTACTTCACATTGCAGAAGAAAAAAATCCCTGCTTCAGTTTCATTGTGACTGTAAATATCCAAAACTGACCTATAGACAGATAAAGATAAACTAAATAATTTTTTTAAAATATAAGCCAATAATCCAAATGGTCCCAATATATTGTGCACCCTTATTAATTTTTTTTAAAGCTTTATTTAGTGTGAATTTAGCTAAAATGTAATATTGTCACCCTCATTCATTCAAAAACCTTCATCTTTTCATGCTAGATATTAAATGATAAATTATATTATAAATAATAAATAAATTATATATAGTTAACTTATATGTAGTTATATATTTAAAAAGATATCGCCCATTTAATTAGCTTGAATGCAGTTAGCTTGTTTTTAGTCACTTGTAGTGTAACTACCTTTTCAATAGAATTATATCTTGACTGTACTTTAACTAGTTCAAGTTATAAGTAAACTTGGCAAGCTACTGTCAATGTAGCTTTCCCAAAACTTTTGCTTTGCTTTTTCACTTTTCATTCAGGCATCCATCTAGATAAACAATACACCTTTCCTCCAGCGTTATCTGCTTTTATGCCTGTACAGTAACTACAGCTTGTAATAACTATAGGCCAGATGTACACCAACTCAGGTTGTGTTTCCTCTGTCTACTTTGCATTAATAATTTACTTAATCACATTGGGAAATCAGTTTGAGACATCTATTTATAACCAGTCCCATTGTTTCGGGCTGTGTGTGATCATTAGCTCTACAAGCCGCGAAGATAAAAATCCTCCAGTTTGGGAAATAACGATGATTATCATCGCGAGGGGGGATTAGCAGTCGTCGGGTAGGCGATGCTTTTACTATACATTAGGGTAATAGCGGCATCTGCGGAGGGACTCAGATGTAGCAGCTGACGTCACGGCCACATGTTCTCTTCACGGATCACCTCTCCGTTCACCTGCCTACATATAAATTAGATAATTGGCCTTTCGCTTTTTGGTGTGGCTGAGTACCATGCTGCTCTGCTTTGAGACAGAGATGTGCTAACTTCAGTGCTGGCGAACAGCTTAATGCAGGTTTGCGTTCCCCGGGGGGGGGGGCGTCTTCATCGATCTTACTGTAGGGCTGATATTGGGGGAGGGTGCACATGTCAGCCTGCTGTAAAACCGACTTTCTGCTTTGCACGGTGCTATGTTGCTCTGCATTTAGTGCCTTCATTCTTGTATTTGGAGGTGGGTGTCATTAATTCAATTTCCATCTTCTCTTGCTCATTTTCTCTCCCGATCTCCCTCACCGCATTGCTCTCCTTCTGGACCGTCTGTCTGCGTGCTCCGATCACGCGCTCACCAATCCCCCCCACCACCCCTTCCACCTGCCGCCTCCTCCGTCTGTGTCTGTCGCTGTGAGACACGGGGACAGATATTATCTGCCTTAACCTCTCCTCTAATCCCCTCACTGTCTGCTCGTTCACCTCTGCTTTATTTGTTTTCATTTTCCTGTCCTTTTATTCGTTTATCCATCCCTCCCTCCAGCATCGGTTCAAGTGTGCTTGGTCATCACGCCATTGATTATTCTTCACTGTACTGTCTCTCTCTCTCTCTCTCTCTCTCTCTCTCTCTCTCTCTCTCTCTCTCAAGGGATGGCATATCAGCTGTCAGACCCACCCAAGACACCCACTCACATCCCCTTGTGGCACCGCCCCCGTCTCCACCTCGCACACCTTCCTGTGTAGAATGAATGCGATAACCATCCATTCACTTCTCCTTTCTTTTCCCTTCATCATCCCACCTGTGATCGCCTGTACCCCGATAACGCTCCGGGAAAGCTAGAGAGCCACTCTCCTTCGGATTCATCCAAGGAGCAATGCAATGACAAAGAGGGTGGGGAGACTAGCGATCGATATATCAGGCTCCTCCCGATTGGCCGTTCCACATTGCCAGGTTGCATCGCAACTGCTGATTGGCTGTTGCAGTGTTCCGTGCTCAGCAGCTGCAGCTATGGGGATTTGCCCTTCCTGTCGGCTGCTCTACTTCCTTTTTCAATCACAAAAGCCACGTTTAGATCCCGAACTCTGAGAGAGTGCGATCGGCGCATAGTTTATGGCCTTGATGTTTTGTTTTGTGCTGAGTTTGTCGCTTCCATCTGCCCCAGAGTCGTAAAGTGACGTTGCTGTCTCCCATGTGCTCTCTCTCTCTCTGTCCCTTTCCCTTTCCCTGCCTCCTCCCTCTTTTTCCTCCCTCCCTGTATCTCTTAATCAAGACACAGCCTGCCCTTTCCTTTGCATTGCTGCCTGCCTCCCATCTGCACTCCTCCTCTACCTCTCGTGCACTCTCTCACTCGCGCTTACTGCCATGCGCTTTCAGCCTCTCTCTGTTTGTCGCTCACCTCTGTATTCCCCAGTTACAGGTTTGCGACATAAACAGCTGCGGCTTCAGGCATTTCCTTTGTTGTTTTGTACTTTTATCGCGTGTATTTTGCGAAATGTTTCTTTTGCGAAGTGTTTTGACTGTTCTGAAGGGGACAAGCTGTTTTAACTGAGTTTGTTGCTTTTGTTTTTTTGTCTTTTTGCAAATACAGGACTCCTGCCACAAAGGACTCTCTTAGAAGTGCGCGAGGACACGTCACAGTGCGATGAAAGGGACGCAGGGAGAGCAGGAGGGATGAGAAAGCGATTCAAGTGAAAGAAGACTCACATCACCATAAAGTGCCTCATCTGGATGCTGCGGAAGCCCTTCTCTGTGTCTGCTTCGGAGCGCTCTCTTCCCCGCTGACTTCAGCACATGCGTGTGCGCTTGGCCTTGGCTCGGGCTATATTTCACCCTGACAGTCAATCAACCCATTTGCCTGTTCCTCGATTCCAGCTCTGCCTGCTCGCCATTTCACCTCTTAATACAAGGACGCCTGTCGATTAGTTTCCCTTTTGGGTTCTCAAAGTGTCTCTCTCTTTACTTCTGCAGTCTCTCCATCCCTTGTGACCCAGACATGCGAGTATCTTTAGGGACTGCTGCGCCAATGGCAACAGGGCAGGGGGTTTCGGAAGCCTAAATTTAGAGAAAGTCCGTTTTACATCAATGCAAGAGGGCTATTTTAAACCCAGAGCTCCGGAGGGTGAGTCTAGACAGTGGGGCGACCACTGCAGACAAATACAAAGTGCCGCTCTACTCTACTTTTAATGCCTCGTTTTCCTGGACGGCAGCCGAAGATGCACCGCAGCATGTCACATTGACCTACTCCACCTCAGCACGCTTGATTCATCGCTCTCCCTACCTGACTTTAAACTGATCTCATATTCTCGTCATACTTCCTCACTGGCTGATCAACAGACTATGCTCCCTTCCTGTTCATAAGAAAGTTTGGTTTTCATTTCTAGATAGTACCGGTAGTCTGAGGATCTCCTTGCCACTGTGCTTATTTTTTGCAGCCTTTGTGCTTCATCACGCCTGGCTGCCCCACCCCAGCCCTCCGCTCACTCGCCAAGGGACCGCCATGGCCGTCAATGTGACCATGGGTCGCGACACCAAGTGGCTGACGCTAGAGGTGTGCAGAGAGTTCCAGCGAGGAACCTGCTCGCGTTCGGACACTGAATGCAAGTTCGCTCACCCCTCTCGTACCTGCCACGTGGAGAACGGCCGCGTCATCGCCTGTTTCGACTCTCTCAAGGTAACCCGGATGCACGTGCACACAGACACTAAAGTTTGTTTTACTATTGCACTGATATATTAACCACGAGAGCATTATTTGATGTTTTGGTGCAGATTTCATCATTCACACATGCTATTTGGACATTTTGTCAGATATCCCTAACACCTCCAGGCTCTTTTGCTGAGTACTGATCTCTCTCCTGTCCTGAAATCAGCCTTTGTGTGTATTTTTCTGTCGGATTTAGACTAAAACACTGCAACCTCTGGTCATGGATTGTTCAATTTTGATAAAACGTACTGTGGTGGCACCATTGGACAGTCAATAAATGTTCAAGATGAGGTTAGGATTAGCAAATGTCAAAGTTTACAAATATGTAATTGAAAAAAGCATATTGATTGACTACCAGTGAATTCTGAGAGTGTTTTACTTCCCAGAGTATTTGCTATGGTACTATGGTATATCCAAAAAACAAGCTAATGCCATGGGGTTATCTACTAAACCATCTATGGTAATTTTTGGTACTTTTTATGTTTAAACAATGCTTTTCTTTGGAAGCATGATGGAGCCATTTTAGAGGGAACAGGAACAGTTCATTAAAAAAAATCTGTCATTAGCTCCCCCTTATGTCACTCAACTTTTATGACTTTCTTCTATGGAATTCAAAAGGAGGAATTTTGAAGAATTTACTGGAATTTACCTTTTTATGCCATGCAGTTATAAAGAATAGGAACTGGAGCTTTGATGCTTCAAAAAGTGAAAAGTTTGGTCAGTAAGTTTTTTTTTTAAAGAAATTATTACTTTTATTTGACAGAGATGCATCTAAAGTGACTGTACAGACATTTTAGTTACAAAAGATTTCTATTTCAAATGAATGCTGTTCTCTTGAACTTTCTAGTCATCAAAGAATGATGACTAGAAAATGAAAAATATATATCACAAAAATATTAAGTAGCACACTTGTTTTCAACATTCATAATAATAAATGTTTTTGAGCAGCAAATCAGCAAATCATAATGATTTCTGAAGGATCATGTGACACTGAATGCTGAAAATTCGGCTTCGCATGACAGGAATAAATTACATTTTAAAATATGTCCAAATATAAAACAGTTAATTTAAATTGTAATAATATTTCACTAGATTACTGTTTTAACTGTATATTTGATCAGATAAGTGCAGCCTTGGTGAGCAGTGAATAGGAATTCTATGTCAGTCTGATTCATGAATGAATGGCTTTGTGAATCAGATTAACTGATTTATTGAAAAGAGCTGACTCGAATGATTAATTAATTAATTGAATGTCAATGGTAGTCTCAGTCTCAGATGTCATTTCCACAGATCGTTGGCTGAATGCCTGATGCATATGGCACACAAAATTGGAAACACTTCAGGAGTTTCGAAGTCATCGGATTTCCAGAAGACGTGTGTCGCGTTCTTTAACATTCCGCCTGGAAACAAAGATGCCGTAACGCCAAACTCCCTCATCGAAGAAGAAAGCCATCGTGTTTACAACTGTGACAATAAGCGCTTATCAGGATCAACTAAACACTGGATTTTCAAAAGTATGTGAAATATGTAAAGTTCGCGACATAGACTTTTTAAAATACGTCCAAGCGTTTTACACACCGCTCTGTTATTGGGGTTACATTTCCACGCCCCTAAATATGACGCGGCACAAAAACAAAACATGATTGGCTGCTTTACCTGTCTGTAAAATGGCCTCTTGGGCGGTCCTTGTTAGGGCTGTGCGGTATGACGGTATATATCGTTACCATGAAATAAAGTGTCTGTCGTTAGAGATTTTGCTATATCGTGTATTCCGCGGTATGCAAATATATGTGCGTAACACAGTACTGCTTAAACGTTATACACCTTTTGAGTGATAAGGAAACATGCATGAATGAGAAAATAAAGAGAGGGTAACTTGGTAGAGTTATTAAGTGCAATAAGCAGTGAAAAATAACTCAGTGCGGTGCTCGCGCTGACTGACACACTGAAAGCCCCTCTCTCGACAGCATGCGATCGCGAACACAAATCTCTTTCATCTTTTATTGTGCTTGAATGGTCAAATACGCACACAGTAACGTCATAATGCCCGTCGTGTGGAGTATTCAAGTAAACACAGTCGGTTATATGCTAAATAAATGTAAAACAGTTTACACCTTATTTACCTGCTGCTGTCTGTCATTATTAATGTTAATCATGTTTGATTGATACAGTGAAGACTATGCAGTGTTTTATTTATACACTTTATTCAATTTCTGTCAAATTTCTTAATACATGTTAAATAAACCTAGCCTACTGTAGCTGAATAAAAGTTTATTTCATATTTATTTGTTCTGTTGTGCTTGTAATTCGCTTCTTTTTCTTAAGTTTAATAACATAAAATATATTATATAATATTATAAAATAAAAATAGCTATAGCGAGGTACATATCGTTATCGTGAAATAAAATTTCTCATATCGTGAAATAATATTTTGGTCATATCGCCCACCCCTAGTCCTTGGCCAGTCAAAGCAGCCAAGGTTCCCAGTCCTTCGCCGTCAGTCTGAAGGTCTGGCTACGCAACACTGTCAATGGTATATGTAAAAACGTAAAATTCATTTAGTTTCTTCCATAAAGCCATTGTACGCTATTAGACAACTTAGGCACACAAGCCATATTAATTATTTTTATGATGCATCTATGGTGTTTTTAATACTTTTGGGACTTCTAGTCCTCAGCATTCATTGTAATTGAATGAAAAGTAACAAACAGAACATCAGATAACATCTCTTTTGTGAATATTCTCAGTTTTAAATGAGATGGTCATTCTAAATGATATTTTGAACATCAAGTAAATTTACAGAATTTTCATTTTTGGATGAATTGTCATAAATTAGATCTTTTGTCGGTTCATCAATTTATAAGCTCACGCTTGTTATACCTTTTATTTTCTGATTTGTCCATGTTAATCTCAGGAAGCAGCAGCACACTGGACTGTGGCTCAATCAGGACTCATATTAACCGTGGCGCTCAGCATTGAGCTATGAACACAACAAATGTGTTTGTGTGTTTATATCTCTGCGTATGTGTTTATGTGCAGCGAAAGAGCCAGACAAGGCCCTCTCTGTCTGAGTGCAGCAGCTGTCTCCTCCTTTATTGAGCTAGAATGTATTATTTGGCCGTTTTTTGGCTGTGTGCAGCATGTGTGGGGAAGCTCAGGAGGAGGAGTGAGAGAGAGAGAAAGCTACATGAGGCCTAGCAACAGCGCCGACTGACTGGATACAGTAGTCCCTCTGAACCGTGTTACAGTTGTAAGCACTGGGCGCCAGTGACCTGTGTAGATTACTTGCTCATCCAATTGTTTGATTGTTTTTATCAGAACAGTAAACACAGCCAGCCGTCACTATCTAAAAACTCAGGGTTAGATTGCTGTTATGACTGAGAGAGGGAGGGAGATAAAATAAAGCTAGAGAAAATAAATGAGAGAAATCCTTCGTGATGTTTTTGTGTGTGTGTGTGTGTGTGTGTGTGTGTGTCTATGAGGAGTTTTAATGGTGCCTGCTGAAGTGCTGAGGAGAGGTGCGCTTAAAGTCGGCATGAAATGGAAATTGTGATCGTCTTTTCTCTTCTGTTAGGACATATCTGAGTAAAAATAATTCTTGAACATGAAAAAATGTAGGGTGGGATTTGATTTTGTCTGTCAGAAACTGATTGGATTGTTGTCACTTTCCTTTCATGAATAAAAAATGATACGTAGCACATTATTTTTGTAGTCCCTGTTCCACATGTACATACTATGTACTTATTATAGTAATTGCAATAACTGGGTAATAACTAAGTACTAAGCCTGAACCTAAACCTGACCTTAACCATTTAGTTACCTTATATTACAATGTAAGTACACACACTATAAAATAAAGTGCAACAAAATTTTGTGCACAGATAAAAAATGTATATTAAACACTGCAATATTCCTTAAAAACATAAGAATTGTCCATTTTCATTTCATGGTGACTTTAAAGGATTAGTTCACTTCCAGAATAATACTTTCCTGATTATTTACTCATCCCCCATATCATCCAAGATGTTCATGTCTTTCTTTCTTCAGTCGCAAGGAAATTAAGGTTTTTGAGGAAAACATTCTAGGAATTTTCTCCATATAATGGACTTCAATGGTGGCCAACAGGCTGAATGTCCAAATTGCAGTTTCAATTTCAAAGGACTCTACACGATCCCAGCCGAGGAATAAGGGTCTTATCTAAAGAAACGATCGGTCATTTTCTTAAAGATTTCTTACATTTATGCATTAGCTCGACTTCACGCATTACGTAGTCATGTTGGAAAGGTCGTAGTCATGTTGGAAAGGTAGGCGGAAGTACCGACCCAGTGTTTACAAAGCAAGCATGCAAAGAAAGTCAAATGCCCTTTACAAAAAAAGGTAAAAACAACGATGTTGGACGATTTTTAAGTTGGAGGAGAAAATTAGATTAGAAAATTAGAGTTTTTCCATCTACTCTACCTTTTTGAACCAGAGTGCACAGAGGAGGAGCTAACCGCACTTGACTTTTACAATTTATTTATTTTTATTTTACCTTTATTTAACCAGGAAATTAAAAACTCTTGTGATTTAAAATCACATTTAGTTACACATAAAACAAATTACATTCGTTTACATACACAGAAACATACACAAATCACTCAAAACATTTACAATCAGGTGACTCTACAATTAGATCCTTTAAAATACATTTAAAATCATTTAGTGATACCAACTCTTTTAAGCATAACTTATCTTCTAGTTGATTCCAATCAAATGGAGCAGCATAACTAAATGCCCATTGACCCATATTAGTACGAACTTTAGGGATGCTTAAAAGATAATAGTCTTGTGAGCGAAGCCCATAATTCTTTACACCTTTTTAGAATTGATTATGCTGTAAATACGAAGGAAGTAAACCTAAAATTATTTTATATATAAGTACCAATGCTTAAGTCTACGGGATGACAAAGCCGGCCAGCCAACCCGAGAGT